TTTTTTTTTTTGAGACAGGAGCCTCAAGCTGTCCCCCTGGGTAGAGTGCTATGGCATCACAGCTCACAGCAACCTCCAACTCCTGGGCTCAAGAGTCTCCTGCCTCAGCCTCCCAAGTAGCTGGGACCACAGGCGCCCACCACAACGCCCAGCTATTTTTTGGTGGCAGCCATCATTGTTTGGCGGGCCTGGGCTGGATTCGAACCCGCCACCTTAGGTGTATGTGGCTGGCGCCTTAGCCACTTGAGCCACAGGTGCCGAGCTGAGCTCAGGAGTTTGAGACCAGTTTGGGCAAGAGCGAGACCCCACCTCTACTTAAAAAGAACAACTAGCTGGGTATTGTGGCCCAGGACTATAGTTCCAGCTACTTAGGAGGCTAAGGCAAGAGGATTGCTCAAGCCCAAGAGTTTGAGGTTGCTGTGAGCTATGATGCCACTGCACTCTAACCAGGGTGAAAGAGACTCTGTCTCAAAGAAAAAAGAAAAAGGATTTGCCATACGACCAAGTAGTTGCACTTTTCAGCATATGTCCCAAAGAAATGAAAATATCCCAGAAGCTTTATTTATAATAGGCGAATGGTTAAATTATGTTACACCAACACCATGGAATACTGTTCAGCAATAAAAAGAAATAAGACATAAAACAACTTGGACAAAACTCAAGGAAATTATGCAGAGTAAAAGAGTTTGTTTTGAAAAGTATATGCTTTTATCATACAACACTCTGAAATAACAATTATAGAAATGGAGAAAAGATCAGTGGTTGCTAAAGTTTAGGGACCGGCAGGGGGGTGAGTGAATGGGACTATAAAAGTAACACAAAGGAGCCCTGCAGTGAGAGCTCAGATATGTACCTTGATGGGCGGTGGTTACCCAAAGCTACACATGTGATAAAATTTCACAGAGCTACATACAGAGTACACATATAACTCATTGTTATTCAAGATGTTTGATTGCTATAAAAGATGTTAACACTGAAGGAGGCTCAATGGTACAAACAACCTCCCAGTACATTTCCTTGCAACTTCCTGTAAATCTCTAATTACTTCCAAATAAGTTAAAAAAAAAAATGAGGCATAAGCTGAAACTGCTTTAGAAATTGAGAAATACTGAATGAATTCTCTATACCAAATGAAGATCATAAAAATTAGGCACCTCTCTCCTATTTCCCATAAAATTAAGGCTTTATAGAATACTTAAATTCTACCATAAAATTAAGGCTTCATATAATACTTAATATCTTTTATTTCCACAAAAAATGTTTTAAATTGCAATTAATCCATAAAATAGCAGAGAAAGCACACAGTAATTCTCAGATACTAAAGAGCAGTACAATCCTTTATTCATGGATGATGACTCCATAACTAAGAAATTTCTGTAACTTATTATCTAAATTCTCCACTTAAATATTCAATTTAGTAAGTACCAGTCCTGTTTTCACAACTGGATCACAAATTCCTCCTAGAAACTGTTACTTCTGGCTCGGAGCCTGTGGCT